CAAAGCAGAGAAGGAACATGGGGTGAGCGCAGACTCCCTTCAGAGCCTCCTTACTGGAACTCAGGGCAGTTCCCCTGATCTGTGACGGTCATTGTCTCGATGTCAATGTTATTAGCGGTCAGGATATCTTTTAGATGGGTCACTGTTTCTGGAGGGAGATAAGGGTTTCTTCCCAAGATCCAAACATGATCTACGTGAAACAGCCAGACGATCGTGGTACACGAGTACACGAGGGCATAGTTCTCGTAGTCGGTGGCCAGGACCCAGTACGGAGCTGAAGGCATCACTGAGGAGCAGAGGGGGCAGTATTAGGAAGGACCAGAGCAAGAGAAACCTTCATCTTCGGGACCCAGAAGTCAGGTTCTTCTAGGTCAGTGGTTCTTAATTCTGACTTCATGTGGGAGTCATATGGGAGCTTTGAAAAATGCCAGCTCCATCCCCGCCCCTCCCTGGATTCTGATATGGAGGTGGTTGGTACTTTTAAAAGCTCCACCTTGATTCTAATATGCACCCAGAGTTCAGAGCTAACATTCTGGCCCCTCCCTGGTAGGACCTGGTAGCAGGTTGGTTTCTGGAAGCCCATAGTAACTGGGGGGTTGGCTGGACCCCTAGACTGACAGGCTGCACTAGGCACTACTTAGCTAAGCAGAGTCAAGGATGCAAGATCAGGGACCTCAGGCTTTCTTAGTCCGTACCGCCCAGCTTCCTCTAGAACTTGACCAAGGGAGGAGGCGGGGGCTAACTTTGGTTTGTTTGTTTTTCTTCCTGCCTGCCTTTTGACAATCCTTCCATTCTTAAGAATATGATAAATAGGGTGGTAACAGGTTATAAGCTCTTCCTTACAAAGGGTCTACGAAGATTCATTGATTGATATCTGTATAGCATTGAAAGCCCAAGATTAAAGGGGTCCTCAAGAGGAGAGATGGGGGATTTGCCCTCTTCATCTGAATCCAGAAACTTCCTCTGTGAATTTGACCTCCACAGCCAAGCTTCAAACTAAGGAAAATTCACAGTGTAGCTTATTAAAGTTAAGTGGGAGATGGACCACATGGGAGAAAGATGTGCGCTGACCCCCATAAGAACAAAAGACTTGGACATGTATACAGACCTGGGTGATTTGCTTTTCTGGGTTTTAAGCACCCCACTGTTTGCCAAGTCAAACCAGAGCTAAGCTGCTGGACAAAGGAGGCAGCCTGGGCGTGGTCAGAGCTTGGATGGGGGTCAAGGACCCAGCTGATCATCAGGACCACACCAAAGGACTAGTTCAGATGACCACCCACCAAGGTCCCTTTGCCTCTGACTTTCTACCTGTTTATAAATATAAAAGCAGAAGGACACTTGGAGGCTGTCTGGAGGGAAGCCTGGACAAGGCTGCAGGAGCCAGACTGAGTATTGTTTCTGACTTCCGTTTCTAGCATTGTTGGTGCCACCTGCCTGGCTCACTCATGAGAGCAAATATTCACCATGTATCTGGTACTACTGAGCGTCAACTGCTTTGTGCGTTCCCAGCTGGACCAAGAGCTCTTCAGCTCCTAGCGATACGTCAGCAGCAGCAGAGTGCCCCACTTCATACACTCTAAGCAAACACATTCTGTCTTCCTCCCACAGGGTCTAGCACTCAAGCATAAATTTACCTAGATATTTTCCTTTTAGTAAAGAAAAATTCCGTGTCTCTTTATTAGAAAACTTTGACAGTGTCCTGTTGCTTATGGAAGGACTTTCAAATTCTCTAACATGGCATTGGAGACCCTCCCCAGTCTTGTCTTCTGCTCCATGGACCCGTCAGGCTTTTTCTCATGTCATTCCCTCCACTTGGAACATCCTTTCCCATAATCTCCCATACACCCTGCAAAACCCAATGCAAACATCTGATCCCTTTAACCACAGTAAACCTCTTCCTCCTCTGCTTCTTTAGCCAATAACTCTTGCCTCTTTTAATTCCTGTTTGGCTTCCTTATGAAGGTTGTGCACATAATATTTGACCTTCACTCCCATCCCCATCACTCACTTGAGAGTTTGGAGACCTAGGTTTTAGTCCCAACTCTGTCTTTAATTAGTCCAATGACTGTGCCTATATCACCTAGCTTTTCTTTACTTCACTTTCTTATCTGTAGAAATCACAAGAGAAACTGACCTGTACAAAGCCCTTTACAGCTTACAGAGTGTGTGTTATCTAGTTTATCTACACAACACTAGGTGTAGATGTGAAGTTAGTTGCCCATAGTCATATGTGTGGGAGGAACTGTTCCCTCCCCCCCACCCAGCATTCCTATCTTGGTCTATAGAACAAGGACTTCCTTTCTGTCCCACTCCAGGCCCTTCATCAGTGGGGGATTGAGGGAGGAGGGTAGTGACGCCCCTTGCAGCTGGTGACTGCGGTGTCTGTGCCACAGGTGGGGAGATGTACTCCTAAGCACTTTGGCATTAGAAAGCCTCACAGTTCTGAGCTGATTTCTCCTGTGCATCTACATCAGCAACAAAACTAAGATGTGCTGCTTTCTCTGTTGCCTAAGTCTATTCCTCAGTTAAACCAGAGCTCACAGGGCAAATGCCTGTGATTAAATATCTCTCAGGGACCCCAACAACGTGGCTGGAAAGCAGAAGACAGAGCCAGGACTCAAACTTACCTTCACTCTTGTCAGTCTCTTGTCTCCAAGCTTTTGTACATGTTCATTGTTCTGCTAATAACTACTAATTTTCAGGCATCTGTTTCCTATAGGAAACAAGACTGGATTGGGTCTCTTACTACTCAAGCACTAGGTACTCCAACTTGTGCTTCCTCTATTGAAACACTCACTGTAGTTTTATAGTAAATGGCCTGAGTACTTGTCAGCATTCACACTGGGCTATAAGTTCCTCAGGGACAAGGGCCAGCTCTGTCTTCCTCATTATTGCATCTCCAGCAACTTGCCCAGTACCTAGCATGTAGTAGGTGCTCAATAAATAATTATGCATTGAATCATTATAGATGACACTCAGATGTGACATGAGTGCTGCAGCCCAGGGCTCTAGCCCTCAGTTTGCCTATCTACTCTTCTGGAACCTTTTGAGAGAAGTATATACTTACACCAGAAAAACTTCACTCCCAGCTTGGCAGGCTCTGTGAGGTTGACCTGGGAGGCTTCACCTTCAATTTGATTCACAGTTCCATCCGATCTGCAATGAATTAAAAACTAACCTGAACTCACTGAAAGCCAAAAACCAACAAAAGGCAAGATTCGTTACACTGAGAACCATAATGGCCAACATTGTGATTTCTGGTTAGAGAGGCTCTTGGAGGCAGGCTAGATTCTAGTTCCATTCTTTCCTCTGCGCTTTGCGACCATCTCTGAGACCAAGTGAAGGAAGACAGCCTTGGGGAGAGGAGGAGCAGCAACTGCAATGCTCTAGGATCGGACACTATGTTAGGCCCTTGCACTTCAACACTGTTTTTTGGACTGTAGGCAATGGCCTGCAAGGCTTAGAAAGAGGAGTTTGAAAAAAAAAGAAAGGGAAAAACAAACAAAACAACCCAGTATACTAAGAATTCACTTTTTAAAAAATAATCACTTCTTTAAAAATGAGAAGGGGCCAAAACATGGAGTCTGGAGATCTGCAAGACCCTCTTTTGGACTTAGTGATCTCAAGTGACGTCATCTTCTCCCTAAAAGGTTCATACACGTGAACTCTGAGACCTCTTCCGGTTCAGCAAGCTTCTGATTGAGGGTGAGAGATTTCTTTTCTTTTCTTTCTTTTTTTTTTTTTTTTAATATATCTTTATTGATTTCAGAGAGAGGAAGGGAGAGGGAGAGAAAGAGACAGAAACATCAATGATGAGAGAGCCATTGATGGGCTGCCTCCTGCATGCCCCCAACTGGGCATTGAGCCCTCAACCCGGGCATGTGCCCTGACCAGGAATCGAACCCCCAATCTCCTGGATCCTAGGTCGATGCTCAACTGCTCAGCCATGCCTGGCCAGGCAGGTGTGGGAGATTTCAATGTAGGCCAGGTAAAAGCAAGCAATGAGCAAACATTTACCTTATTTCAGTGATTCTCAGGTGCATCTAGATCTCAGACACATTAAATATGAAGAAATGTGCATCTTACAATTAATGCCACCCTACACTTATAATTGGCAGTGTCATTTCTTAGTGGTATATAAAATGGTGTAGATATATAAAAGCTATGGTCTTAAGTTGTATGAAATACTTTCACTCTTTTGAAGGGAGCTCGCCCCATTTCTGGATAACTCCCAGTGACCTCATGGACCCAGGGGAGAGTAGAAAGGCCTGGGGATGGAGGCAGCACACAGGGAGTGTGCTCGGACATCAGGGTCCTCCTAGGAAACTGGGAGAGGAGCTGCCTGGAGGAGGCAAACTAAAATTAGAGCAATAGTATGTGTCAGAAAGTCAGTAGGCTATGTTAGTGATGGATGTCCTAGGAACCATTCAACAAGCAGCAGGTGAGGGAGGGTGGGACATGTACTCTGAGAGTCCCGGATGCATTGTCTGTTTATCACGGAGTAGGGCCGGAGACAGAGCCCTGCTCTCTCACCTGGAACTCAGCCATTGGGAAGAGGGTCCATTTCTATCTGCATACAGTTGCTTAGCAACAAACCAGTCTTTTCCCACCAGGCTTTTCCCCTTTTCACTATCATTTGCATTGTACTCTGGAACAGTTTTTAAAACACCACTCTCTGATCATAAACTCACAACTTGTTCATGGGAAAATGCATGAGTATTTTCAAGGGTAGCAGCAGATTAACAATAATAGGAAATATTTATTAAGTGATTACTATACACCAAACACGGGTCTAAGTGCTTTATATGTGTTGTCTCACTCTTGCTCACCAAGCCCTCGGGGGAGGTGCCATGATTATTGCCATTTTACCTGGGTGGAAAGGGAAACAGAGAGGATTGCTACAACCAGCCTAAGATCACATTGTAAGTGGCAGAACCAGGATTTGAAACCAGGGAGCCTTTCTCAAAAGCCTGAGCCCTTCAGCTGCCAACCCTGTACCAGCTGCTTTGTCCCTCAGATTCTCTGACACTGGCTAGTGTTCTGCTCAGACTCTATGCTGTGCCCTCCACTCACTCTGCAGTACTCCAGAAGGAGAAACTAGACCAGTTTCCTGAACTTGCAAACCTTCCTGCATGTCCCCATGTACCTCACCCAGATGTGACCCTAGAGACAGAGCAACCTAACACTCAGGATCCTGGCCAACTCCAAAGGAGAGGTGGGGGAATCATAGAGGTGTTGGGATCTGTGTCATTGTCTGATTCTTGGTCTTAGAATGGGACAAAATATTTGAAATAAAGCTGTTGCAACTTTAGGGCTTACAGAATTACTATGAGATCCTCTGGGTGTTTACATCTCAGTTCCTGTGGCTCTGAAATGAGCTGAATTTTTCTCTAGAGGCCCTCAAGGTCCTTACTTTACTTCTTTGGGTTATGCAGGGTCAGGGAGTCAACCCATTGTGTTTTGGCTCACAGGAAGCTTAGTGAATAATAGGACAGCTTCAGAAAGGCTCTCTGGACCTGAGTAACTTGCAGGCTGGGTTGTAGTTGTTTTCGTGGAGTTGGAGTTGAACACAATTCTCAGATCCCATAGGGAACTGGAAGGACAACCTTACATTTCCAGCCTTTCTTTTATCTGTCTTCTGTTCTCTTCCCCATTTCACTTCTCCCTGGGTTGGAATCTCAGCTTCATCACTTATAAGCTGTGTGACCCTTGGTCAAATTACTTCTCTGTACCCCAGTTTCCTTATCTATAAAAATGGAGTTAATAATAGCACTACCTCAGGGTTGTTATGGGTTTAAATCAATATACAGGATGGGGCAAAAGGAGGTTTACAGTTGTGAGTACGTGAAACAGAGTTTCTTCTTGAATTATTATATATTAATTATTGTATTATTTCCATATGAACAACTATAAACCTACTTTGGCCCTACCCTGTATATGCACACTCATACATATAAGTACATATACACACAGAATAGTGCCTTGCACATAGGAAAAGGTTAATAACTGTTAGTTACTGTTTCTATTGTTACTGTTATCTTTGTTGTTTGAGGGTGGGTAGGAGTTTTCCTGAGGCTCTTTTAAGGTTATGGTTGCTTTTCAAAGTGTGAATTTGGGGATCAAGCATCAATCTGGGAAAAGTATGCCTCTATACGATATCCTGTTCACATAACCTAGGGTGTGACTACATATGCGTTTGATCCTTGCTTAATAAGGAAAGGCGTTTTCTAGTAGCTGGAACTGTTTGGAGATGTGATAAACTGTCATGGGTGGTGATGAGCGCCCAGTTCCTGGAAGCTTCAAGCAAAGCTGGATGCCCTCTGTCAGTAACTGATATAAGAAGGGCTTCTCTCTTGGTTTGGAGGTCAGACAAGATGGTCCCTGATGTCCTTTACTACCAGAGTATCTGTTTTGCGGTGAGAACAGAAACCCTGCAGTTTGGGTTACCATTGAGTCCCTAGTGCCTCTCACAGGATCCAGTGCACAATAGGTGGTCAACAAGTGGTCACAGAAATGAATGAGTGACTTCTAGTCCCCACTGTTCTGCCTGCCAAAAGCATTCCTCTCAGGGCCTGTTGTGAGCAGGCAGTCCAGACCCAGCAATGATCGAATCCTCCCTGAACCAGGCTGCAAGGACACCCAGTCACCCCAGGACAGCTCTCTGCAGGGCCGGCTCCAGGATGTGCAATGCCTTTGAAACCACAGCCACTCACCTCAGTTCCTGGTTTATCACTTTGATGTTTCCATTTTCCATTAGTGAGTAGTTGGCTTGGATGCAGCTTCCCTTCTCAAAGCTCCCTGGGATCTTCTCAATTTCATACCATCTTCCAAGATACTGCAGAGACAACAAGTAGAGCAAAACCCTGTGACTCTCTGGGGACCTGCAAACTCTGCTCTATTGTTGTCTGTCAGAGCAGAGCCCTTTCCTGGGGAAACCAGGCAAAATGGGCTGCATTGTTTCCAGCGGCAACTGAGCAAGATATTGATTCAAAGGAGAACAAGCGAATCGGATGTGTGGGATTGATTGAATGCCACGTTCTGTTCCTAAAGTGCTCTTTATTTAGATACGCTCTCAGTGTCCCCTTCAGCCAAAATCTATGTGAAATTCAAAACTCTGTCAAAGGAAGGGATTCGTCTAGATGATGGAAGGTGCCATCTCAAATGTTTTATGATTCTTTAAGGCATCTTTGAATTGTGCACAAAGTCGGATATGTTCACTGCGGGACTCCAGAAGTGGTTGAATTTTCCTCATATGACCCCACACTGGGAGTTGGTCACAAAGACTTTTTCGGCACATGATCAGGATTTAGAAGACCTGTGTCATTTCTCCACTGGAGGCTTGCTCTCAGTTCATAACTCCAGTGTACAGAGTCAACTTTAAGGGAAGTGTGCAACTGTGCGGGTGAGGACAGGCATTCTCCTGCTTCCATAGAGACTGAGACAATTTACAACCTTCATGGAGGGTCATTTGGCAATATCTAGCAAAACTAAATATACATATACTCTTTGGCCCAGCTATTTCACTTCTGGGAATGTATCCTCTGATAATAAGAAATGATGTACGGATAAGATTATTTGTTGCAGTACAATTAGTAATAATAAAAGACAAGAAACAGTCTCAGTGAACGTTAGCAGGGGGCTGGGTAAATAAATACGGACACATTTATGCAGTGGAATGTTATATATCCTCTTTTAAAAGAGTAATATGCAATTATCTCCAAAACACATTTAATAAAAAGGGTCAGGTGCAAATAGTGTGTATATTAAGCTACCTTTTGTGTAAAACAACACAAATTTACTTTTTTGTAGTTCCATAGGTCAGAAGGCTGACACTGGTCTCACTGGGCTAAAATCAAGATGTTGGCAAGGCTGTGTTCCTTTCCAGGGGCTCCAGAGGAGAATCTGTTTTCTTGCTCTTTCTAGGTTCTAGGGTCTCAATTTCTTTATCTACATAGGAAGAAGTATAACTATCTTTATTTGCAGATGACGTGATTTTTTTTGTACATAGAAAGTCCTAAGGAATCCATACACACACAAAAACTATTAGAACTAATAAATGAATTCATCAAGATTAAAAAAGACACAAGATTAATATACAGAAATCAAATCTATTTCTACACTTACAATGAACAATCTGCAAGTGAAATTAAGAAAATTCCGTTTACAGTAATGTCAAAAAATAAAATACTTAGAAATGAATTTAACCAAAGAAACATAAAACGTGTACTCTGAAAACTACATTGTTGAAGGAAGTTAAAGAAGACCTAAGTAAACGGAAAGATATCTTTAAGTTCATAAATTGGAAGACTTAAAATTGTTAAGATGGCAATTGATATACATACAGATTTAATGTAATCTGTTAAAACTCCTAACAGGCTTTTTTACAGAAATTGACAAACTGATTCTAAAATTTATATGGAAATGCCAAGGACCCAAAATAGCCAAAAGAACAAAGTTGGAAGACTCATACATTCTGATTTCAAAACTTTACTACAAAGCTATAGTAATCAAGACTGTGTTGTACTGGCATAAGGATAACCATATACATCAACAGAATAGAACTGAGAATCCAAAAATAAACTCTTACATACATGGTTAACTGATTCTCGACAAGGATGCCAAGATTATTCAATGAGGAAAGAATAGTCTTCTCAACGAATAGTTCTGGGACAACCGAATATCCACATGCAGAAGAATAAGTTGGGCCCCTATATCACACTATGTATAAAATTTAACTTAAAATGGATCACAGACTTAGATCTACAAATATTTTAGGAGAAAATATAGTAGTAAATCTTTATAATCTTGGATTAGGCAACGGCTTTTTAGGGAGGAAAAAAAAGGCACCAGAAGCACAAGCAACAAAAGAAAAAATAGATAAATTAGACTTCATTAATATTAAAAACATATGTACCAATAAAGTAGAAAGACAATCCATGGAATGGGAGAAAAAACTTGCAAATCATATATCTGATAGGAATCTGTATCTAAAATGTATAAAGAACTCTTATATCTCAATAATTAAAAGATAAATAACCCAATTGAAAATGGGCAAAGGACTTGAATAGACACATCTCCAATAAAGCACATGAAAAGATGCCCAACATCATTAGCTATTAAAGAAATGCAAATCAAAACCACAATGAGATACCACTTCGTATCCACTGAAAATGGCTATAATCAGAAACATGACAGTAGAAAGTGTGGGCAAAGATATGGAACAATTGGAATTCTACAATCTTGATGGGAATGTAAAATGGTGTGGGTCTTTTGGAAAAGAGACTGGCGGTTTCTCAAAAGGTTAAACATGGAGTTACCATATGACCTAGCAATTCTACTCCTAGGTATATACCCAGGAAAACTGAGAATATATGTCCACAAAAACAAACAAGCAAACAAAAAACCCAGGACACGAATGCTCACAGTATTATTTCTGATAAGTCAAAAAGTGTAAACAACTCAAATGAACAGATGAATAAAATGTGGCATAATCCATACAGTAGAATGTTATTCGGCAATGAAAAGAAACAAAGTGCTGAAACATACTACAACATGGATGAATCTTGGACACATTATGCTGGTAAAAGAAGTCAGTCACAAAAGACCTATTGTATGGTTCCATTTCTATGAAATGTCCAGAATAAGCAAATTCATACGGAGATAATGTAGAGTATTGATTGCCTGGGGCAGAGAAGGTTGGGGGAAGTGGGGAGTAACTGTTAATGGGTATGGAGTTTCTTTTTGAGATGCTGAAAATGTTCTAAAATGGATTGTGGTGATGGTTTCATAACTGTGAACATATTAAAACCACTGAAATTAAAAACCACTTTAAACAGGTAAATAGTATATGGATTATATCTCAGTAAAACTTCCTGCTTTATTTCTCAAGGGCTTTTGTAAATATAGCACAATTATAATTTCCGAAGTATCTTGGAATTTTTACCCCCAAACTGAAACGTAATTCAAATTCCCTGGATTTTTGCTGTAAAGCCTCTGATACCTGAACAAAGGCATCAGCCCTTAATAATTAATGGAGTAGGTCAATGTAGACTTGGGTGTATTACACTCTCCCCTTCCTGCCTCCCTGTGTGAACTCTATTGATGGTGCTCCGTCTCCCCACCCCCTTCAGGCTTTGAGCTCTGCTCCCCAGTCTGCCTAATCCAGCCCTGAGAGGTCCCAACTCTCATTCACACTGAGGAGTGAGTGACTGATAACAACTTCAGTGTTACTCACAGCAAGTGAATTGCTTCTTAAAAGAGAGATCCACACTTCTACTAAGGAGAATATATCTTAACGGGGAGATTCTAGCCACGAGTTAGCACCAAGGAGAACCTCTAAGTCATGCCATCCAATAGTTGCCTCTTTCTGCTGCTCCATCCCCTGGCCACACAGATATTCAGTACGGCTGGGCCTAATTTGAGGAAGAAAAGCCATACATGGGAGCTGGCGATCTCTTCAGTGCAGGTAACAAGAAAGCCCCTTGGGGAGTTCAGTCCTCTCCCAGGCCCTGCTTGGGGGTAACCCGTGGGTGTCCTGCACTGCTGGCAAGCCTAGTTTTAAATCCTGGTCTGCATTTACTAGCTGTGTGACTGGGTAGGTTACGTGCCCTCCGACATTCAGCTTCTTCATCAGTAGAATGGGGACAATGGCATCGCAGCAGCTGCTCTTGATGTCTGGTCCCACACCTCCCAACCTACCTTTGGGTTTACCCAGCCACAGACAATTCCCCACACACTGCCCCTCTGTCTCCTTCTCTGCCAGACAGCTTTGCACGGGAGCTCCCACGGCCCACTCGCATCCGTCCACCCGTGGGACAATCTGAGGTGCATTCCACACATGTCCTTAGCGGATCCTCAGCAGGACTGAACCCCACTGTTCGCAGAGTCACCTACTCCTGAATGCACCCTTTATTGCTTTTCTGCTTCTCTGTCTCACTTTCCCCACACGCTCACTCTGCTTCCTGGGATTGGCTTACAAAACCTCGCAGCTCCCAGTTCCCGTCTCAGAGTCTGCTTTGGGGGAACCACAAATAAGGTAAGCACCTCCCCCACGCTTGCTGTGGCCATCAAAGCAGAACAACAAAGCTGCGCCTTGTGGGGTGCTTACTCAAGCAGGAGACAGCAAAAGAGAGGGAGGTCAGCCTCTTACCACACCTTATTCACGTCAAAATTCTCCTGCACGGGAGGAGCCGGGCACTTCCCCAGATGGAATGCCTGTCCCTCGGCCGCACCCAAGAGGCCAGCCAGTGCCGAAAGCAGCAGCAGCGCAGTCACCATCGTGGGGCTGGTGGCCGGAGGTGGAACCTGGAACTGGAGGAAACAAAGCAGTGGAATCTTCTGAGTAATCGCTGGGGAAAGATTTCTGGGCTGGCCGGTTCCTCTGTGGGCAACCGTCCCACTCATCCCCCGTGAGCCCAGCGTCCTGCGGAGCCCCCTGAACCAGCAGCCCTGCTGTGAGGTCTCCCTCCCCCGTGAGCCGCTCTGGAGCCCTTGACCTGTACAGCGCACACTCTGCCTGGTAGCAGAGTTTGTTGGGTTTATGTGCAACCTCTCCCTCTCTCCTAATTAGGCATTTTTCAAGGCTGGTCACAGTGTCTGATTCTCCTTGGACTCATCCACAGAACCTTGTAGTGTCAGGCAGGGTGGATGTTTGAATGAACAGAAAACAATGTGGGGGCAGGGGGAAGGCAAAGAGAGACCCTGAAGCTGTCAGGTGAACCATGAGAGAGAAAAACACCGAAGCAAGCCATGTATAACATTTAGTACCTTATGAGATTCATAAGGGAAATGGCCTCCTGCCCTGGCCCCCCCATCCCCGCCCCCACCTTGCTGGGCTGTTTACCAACCCAGGAGGAGGCCTGGGAACCTTGACAGGGAGCAGTGTGTGTGGGGGGGGACCCACGGTCACACTCACTGCTTTGGATTTCTGACTTTGCCACATACTAAGTATAACTGTGTCCAATTTATGAAGTTTTGTGAGAATTAAATGAAATAATAGAGAGCATTTAGAGCAGCGTCTGACACAGAAACATGCTCAATAAAAGCTAGTTGCTATTACTATGAAAAGCAGCAACAAATGGTTGTTTCCTGAATTTGTTTTCTTTCTTTTTTTTTTTACATTCTCTTAGGGGATACTTTTCATAGACACGTATTTAACTTGAGAAGGACTAGTAGCTGGCATGCAACTTCGCAACAAGTATTTCTGTCCAAAGCACCCTTCCGGCAGCGGGAGCTGCTTTGAGGAAGGGCAGCGGGCAGGGTGGGGGCGCTGCGGGGCTGCTGGCAGGGTCTGAGCATCCAGGCTGCTCCCGGCTTCTCTCACTGACTTGCTTTCAGCCTGTTCTTTTCCTTGTGACTCCTTGCCTGTAGTTGCACAAGAGCTATTTCCAGCTCTTTGCCTTTCTCCCAATGCAAGCTAAATGTTCTCAGATCTGAGCATTTAAAAGGATGTGTCATAATAGGAATAATTGTAACCACTTTATTATGAGTCTCTAAACCTTCAAATAACCTTTAATGATCAATAGCTTTTCTTCTGGAGGTTTCCTGGCTGGTTTTCAAAAGAAAAATTACGTAACAAGTAAAAGCTGCCAGTGGGCCCTGGGGGAGGGGGTGGGGAGGTCACTGAGCCCCCCCTGGAGCAAGTCTGCAGGGGGGCTTCCTTAGTCTCTGAAGCTCCCTTTCCCATCAGCCCCTACCACCATGTTACCATATTTCAGGATTTGCAGAAACCCAGCCTAAACCCACAAAAACTTGCATCCATTTCCAAGAGGCTCTTAGAACCATCAGAGCTCTTCTCTTGGCCCCAGTAGGCACCACACTCAGTGCCTTGCCCAGAAGATCTAACCTCAGAGGAGGGCCACACATTCTACACATTCTACAGGGTTCCCCCAAACTGGACAGGACCTTAGAGGTCATTGATCCAACCCGCCTCCCCAGGTATACAGATGGGAAAGCTGAGGCCCAGGAGAACAGAGAGCCGGGATGCGGGCCCATCTCCAGCTGCCTGCTTTGCAGCGCTCTGAACGCGCGCCCTTTGGCACACCACCTCTAACCCTCTGAGTCTCACCTCACCACGTGACAGTTACACCAAAAGTCAGTTCCACGTCTTGCTCTGACAACTGTCATATTACAAAATGTTCTACTGTGGGCTGAAACGGTTTTTTAGCTCTGTAGGAGGATTTCAGAGAAAGGCTAATTCCCTTTGATTGCACCTCTTCCAAAAATTATTGGGGTAATTTTATTCCTATATTTAAAACTTTTTTTGTGAGAAAAAAGGTTGGTAAAATCCATAATTCTTTCAACACCCCTTCCATCCTAATTCACCTGACACTTACTGAGTACCTACTGAGGGTAAATCACATTATTAACATGTACCTATGAACTTGGGTATATATGACATATTTTTTGCATCTTCTAATTAATACTAATGGGAAGATTGTCCTAATGACAAGCGCTTAAATACTTTTAAAAATAAATATAATTTAAACATTATTTTAACTGAATAGTAAATAATTTAAGAATAATTCTAAGGGGCATCCACTGGCCAGCACTGACTCTGAGAATCACTGCTCACACTCACTGAGCTTCTCCACCCAGAAGCCCTGGCCTCAGGATTTTCACATGTGCCAGGCACTGAATCTCCACAACATCCTGTCTGCAAGGGTCCTGTGTTGACCTTCTCTCTGTGCTCAGTGAGGTCAATTTGCCCAGAACTTCTGTGGAGCCGGAACTTCTGCCAGATCTCCTAAGACTCAGCACTCCTAACACGTGTGTGGTTGCGTGGATCTAGTCTCTGATCCCAAGAATTTTAGATTTCATGTGATAACATACAATACATCTCCACAAGTAAATGGGTCTTGAAAATCCATGTAGCTATTGAATCTAACAAGAAAACATATCTTCTGAAGAACATATTTTTGTGCCGTATTGTTAAACATATTTTCTATCCACACAATGAATTTCAGTTCACTTTTCAGTATTTTACTGTAATGCACATTTGGATAACAACTGCCTGAGAATTCATCTACTACATTTTGGTGTATGGAAAGCCCTCTCATTGTCTCATTAGTACAGAGGGGGTGCGTAATGCAAGCAGAAGACTTTGAGGTGAGTCAACATTGGGTTGGCACCCCAGCTCTGGCATTTGTTGGGGGTCCTATCTTGGGCCTGTCACTTCAGATATCTGAACTTCAGTTTCCTCATCTGAAAAATGGCACTAATAATATCTACCTTGTAAGTCTGAGGAAAAATAAGGCCAAGTCTGCAAAGCTACTGGCACAAGCCCTCAATCGTGTTAGTTAAGCGACCCCTTGGAGCAGCAGGCAACGTGTCAGTCTCATAATCATGTTATTTATGATTTTTAGCTGACAAAGCAAAATCAAAAGTCAAGAATGTCTCTATTTTAAGCATTATTCATCCTAAATAAAAATTAAAACTACAGTACATACCTTTTTATCAGGATGAAGGCAGTTTCCACACACCCACTTTGAAATGCCTTGTTTTGGTGACTGGCTTCTCCCAGGTTATTTTATAAGCTTCATCAGATCATTGACGTTTAATTTTAATGCATGCCACACCCCCTGCAGTTCAGGAAGGCTGGACTAAAAGCTTAGCTCTGTATAAAACACAAAGATGGAATGTTTTGACCATCTCCCCCCCAGTTTCCTTCACAGCTGCTCCCTGAAGAAGTAACAATGAGATATTGTTTGTGTGTGTGAGACAAAGTGCATTTCATCCAAAACATCGTTTTTTTGCTATGTGGATTTTCTAATTTAATTTTCTCAGTTAGATTGCACTTTGAAGTTCCAGTAAGATGAGTTGCAATATGTTTTCAAACATCTGGTGTTTATTTTTCATTTTTATGTAAATGAAAAATCAACAATCCCATTTCCTGCAGTGGAGCATGAATTCCACCCCGTGTGGTCGTTGGCCTGCAATGTGGCTCAGGCAACGGAGTGAAGGTTGGGAACTGGAGTTGACTTTCTGTGTGATCCTGGCAAGCCACTCCCTTCTCTGAACCTCGGTCTCTCCACTGTGAAGTAGAGACTGTCGTTTCTGTCCCCATCAGAGCTGGGGGTATAGGGCAGATAACAGTTCTGCAACAGTCAGGGCTAAAAGCTGAGAATGCCAAAGATGTTCTCTGCAGCAGCTCTCTCTGTACCTTTAATGACCCTTCCAGCTACATATTCGAGGCAGCTTGTCACTACTTGGGGTGGAGGTTGTGTGGGGGAGGAGCAGACTTAAGTCCAAGGGCACTTCTGGCTGGGCCTTATCTCTCTGTGTGGAATGAACAGCTTAGACTCTTACGAATCGGATTTTATGCTTTTGTGCTAGGCGAGGGTATTTCTAGTGGCATGTAGATAAGATAGGACTTTTGTAGTAGACTTAGATCCTAAATAAAATTAATTCTCAAATTTGTTAGCAATAAAGAAAAGTTTATATCATTAGGCCATATAAACATTAAAACAACAGCAACAACAAGAGCGAATCCTTAACATACCAAACTCTGAGAGCTCTTTTTTTTTGGATGTTCTTTACCTTTTCAGGAAAAGAAAGAATTCTTATTCCTGTTCAGGGCACCAACTCTTGTTGTCCCTCAGAACTCTGAATACCTCCCCCTCCCCCTTCATATTCACCGGAGGATATTTTTTCCATTGATTTTTTAGAGAGTGGAAGGGGGAGGGGGAGAGACACAGAGAGACAGAGAGAGAGAGAGAGAGAGAGAGAGAGATGTGAGAGAAGACACATCAATTGGTTGCCTCCTGCACGCACCCTGACTTGGCCGGGGATCAGATCTGCAACCCAGGTATATGCCCTTGACCAGGAATTGAACCAGGCACTCTAACCACTGAACATACTGGCCAGGGTTCAAGTATCACTTTTTTAAAAATGCCTTCCTGACTTTTCAAAAATAGTGCTCTTGTCACTATTACTTAAGCTGCTTCATTATATCCTTATTATACTTTACCTAAAATTATATCCTTTATTTATTTATTTTCTTGTTTACTGTGTTTTTCGCAGTAGAATATAAGCTCCATGAGTGCAGAGAAATTGTCTCATTGACTTACTGCTGTACCCCCACATAAGTGCCAGTAACACGTGTAAAATAAATGTCTATTCAAAGAATTTACTGAGCATTCTAAGATATGCAAAAGGAATTAGAGGTAATATTTAAGAGACTTCTATTTGAATAGTTTCCCTGGGAAAGAACTAGCCTGTAAGTTTCTGTGTCTTCTTTACCTGCATCACATTTGTCACCGAGAATTACCTGCCATTAAAGAAAGACACAATTGGCCTCTCGTAAACGTCACAAAAAAATATTTACTTCTACTTTAAACACTTGCACAGTTTCTCACAAAGCAGTGTTGCTGGCTTCCAAACAGGCAAGTTGGAGACCCATATATTTATATATTTTAGTCCTCAGCAGTGAATCAACAACTGTGGAGCTGAAAGAACTAGTCTAGGAGTCACAGCAGGAGAAAAATCACATTATATTTTTGGGCCTCGGTTTATTTTTTCCTGCTAATATTCATAAATGATATAATTTAGGGAAAGCCTCTCTTTATATTTCTGTGATGTACAGCCACGCACAAGTTCTTAGGCACTATAAACCATTTCAGACCTATGTTCTAAACAAGCCTTTATTTTTTATTTTATTTAAAACTCACCACCAAAACCAAATTTTTTATTTTTTAATTCCAAAATAATACACATCCGTTGTAAGCAATTAAGATAGTAGGATTCAGAAAAATGTAGGACTCGGAAACTAAGTGCCTCATAATCTCACCCCTCAGAGAACCATTGCTGTTTGTATTTATTCCTAAACAGATCCTAACATAACAAAAACGGCAGCAATGTTCAGTGTCCTGAAACTTGCTTCTTTCACGTAATAATGTATTTCTCCGTATCAGCACGCACAGACCAGCCTGATCCTGTCAACGCTGCAAAACCTCGCTTCTACCGGACAGCTCACTTCTTTAAGGAAACGGCCTGTGGCTTTATAGGAAATCAGTTCTTTGGTTGGGTGATCTTGCATCACACAGGTGATTGGTGGATAAAAAAAAACACCATCTTTAAAAAAAAAAAAAAAAAGCTTCCCTGGTGAACACTTCTCTGTTTATTAAAAAGTGGTTCTTTCAACCACCACTGTCAACCTGTATGCTCTAACGCGCTTTTTCTTTCATTAGTTAAAATAAAGGGAAACGCAACTATACTTTTCATGTGAAAACTCAGACGAAGAGTTTTCCATAACACAAATCCACTCTTTAAGAGGCAGCTCCAAAGTTCCCCGTCTGGAATGTCTTCCTGAGCTCTTCCCACCCCACGCAGCGCTCCTCACTCTGCTTTGTTTCCGCAGCATTTTACTCTGTTCTCACCCCATCAACACACTGAGGCCTCTGGCTCCTTCGGGAGACTGTCAGATCCTTAACAATAGGTTTGTCTTGTTATCCCTGCTAAATTGCCGAAGTGTTTACTAAATGTGGCTGGATGATTAAATGAATATAGAATGTTTAATTCTCATTACTTGCAGGATTTATTACATACTTCAAGATTTTTTCAGGTCTTTTTCTCTCCTTATCGCCCCCTTGTGGCCACTTCCTTGATCTCTTGGAACCGAACCAGGTGAAAAGCGAATGGCACCAAGCATCTGGTCAACCAGAAGGCAATCAAACTGATAAAAACTGCAGCTTGATATGGCACAGGGGAAAGGACTCTGAGCTGGAAGGCGGGAAGCCTGGGTTCTGGTCCCAGCTCTGCTGCTAACTCAGTCATCCATTCATTCGCTTTTTCAACAACATATGTCAAGCACTGCTGTGTTCAGGCGCAGTTCCAAGCGCTGCAGATGTAGTGGTGAAGAAGAAAGATAATGTCTTCACTCTTGTGGGGCTCATCTTCCAGGGGGAGTCAGGAAAAATATATGAGAGAATAAGGTGTCTGCTAGGGAGTGACTGGGTGACAACTCTAGTTGGGTGGTAAGGAAGGGGCCTCTCTGAGTACTTACATTTAGGCTGAGATGTGAATAATAAAATAAAACCAGCCACTCAAGGATCATGGGGAAGAGCATTCCAGTTCTAACACTTTTGTTTGAATTGTTTTCCTGGGAAACTCCAAGGGAGAGGAGCACTTAGAACTCCACCTGAGAAATTCTTAGAACCCTTTCCTGGGAAATTCCTAGAACCCTACCAAGGCTTCCAAGATGGGAACAGACTTTGTGTGGCTGGAGTAGAGAGGGCGCCAAGGAGGAAAATGATTCAGAATGTGTTTGGAGGTAGGTAGAAGCCATGTTATACCTTGCTTAGGAGAATTTCGATTTTATTTCAAGTATCATGGGAAGCTATGGGATGGTTTTAAGCAAGAGCATGAGGAGATCACTTAGGCTGCCCCGTCAAGAATGAATCGTAGAATGATCACAGAGGAATCAGCTGAAAAGCTGTTGCAGTCATTCAGGTAATGATGGCTACGACTAGCTTGACTGTAGTGAAAATGAAGAGAAGTGGATGGATTTGGAATATGTTTTGCAGATAAAGTGGATAAGACTTGCTGATGGGTTGAATATGGAGAATGAGGGAAGAGGGGAATTAAGATCGACTCCTAGATTTATAGGTTGAACAACTGGGTGGATGGTCATGCCAATGACTAACACTGGGAAGATGGAGGGATGGGAAAGTTTGGGAGAAAACTCAAGAAGTTCTTCACGGATAAATTAAGTCTGGGTTGCCTCTTAGACATCCGAGTGGAAGTATTAAAAGGCAGTTGGGTATTCAAGACAAGTGTTGGGGGAAAGTCAGGGCTAGAGGCAGAGATTTGGAAATCATAAGCACATAGATGGGCTTCAAAGTCATGGGACTGGATGGAGGTACCAAGGGAAAGCGTACAGTAATAGAAGGAAAGGATGCTCAAGACAGATCCCTGGTACCCTCTAACCTACAGAGGTTGAGTAAAGGAGAAGGAGCCAATGAAGGAGACAAAAGGAACAGAAGACGCTGAGCTCTCACAGAGCCAAGGGAAGAAAATGTTTCAAGAAGGAGGAAATCATCCACCTTGGCTGAGAGGTTAAAGAAGATAAAAACAAAGAAGTGGCCACTGAATTTAACAATGTGGAGGTCACTGGTGACCTTGACAGCAGTCTCTACAGAGTAGGGGGGATAGAACCAAATTTGAGTGGGTTGGTAGGGGCAGAGGAGGCAGCAACTCTCTTTAAAATTGAAGGAAAGTAGATAAATTTGTTAAGAGCAGAAAGGAGACATGGAGGTTAAGAGAGATGCTAAGAGCATGCACATGAGGATGATCCAGTTGAGAAGTATGAACCATGTAGGGGAGGGGAGTGGAGATTGCAAGAGCAACCCTAAGTAGGAGAATGGGATGGGACCCAGAGCACGAGTGGAGAGGCTGGGTTTTGAGAGGAGCAAGGGTTCTGGGTCCATAGAAACAAGAGAGAAGGCAGACGGTAGGTCACCAGATGCAGGGAGGTATATAGATTTGGTAGTGAGAAGATGCAGGAGTT